TTAAGAAAAACTAATTATATTTCCTGTCTTTTACATGAGTTTCTGCTCAAAAGATTCTTATCAGAAAATGCCAAATCACCTCATTAAAGTTATGAAAAAAATATCGAGAAATTCAGATCAGGAAAAAATTGAGAGTATCTCAAAAACTTTAAGACATATCTTAATATCTCCCTGGTTATAATCATAACACTACACATAATCTTTTAATATAATGCAATACGATAAAAACCCCTTCCAGAATCCAGCATAGTGAAATATGGACTAAAAAAGCTTTATTAGAGGACATATCTTTTTAATAATCAAATTAAGTCTAAAATATTGAATTATTGGAGGTAGAAAACATCCAACAAAATGACCCTTTCATAACAAATGACAAACTTTCAAGACTGCTAATTCAGATTTTTCAGACAAAACATAACTGCCCTCCTTTAACTCAGGATCTTCCTAGAACATGTTGCATAATTTGTCATCCTTTTTATAATTTAACGGAGGTGATTGATGGGCGTGAGTCATACTGGGAAATTGTCTTTCCGTCAGGTCTCGGACACATAAGCAACTCAGCGAGAAGACGATTTTTACATCAGTCAAGAAAAAGACGCAAATCCCAATCGCAGACTTATTTATTGGTAAATTCTCTAGCGATCAATGATGTTATTTCATAGCAATCAATTATCTGTGCTAAAAAGGTCCTAAGACCCAGCTGAGATTTGAGACTGGCACCATACTTCTTCATATAAACCGTACCTTTACTGAGGATAACACTTCCGTTATTGACAAAGAACTCAATTTACCAACAAGAAATCATTTTATTTTCATCGGGTCATACGTAGATTTTGTAGGTCAAGTGCATTTCTCTACCATTGTATTATTTTCACCTTTCTACATTATTCATACATAACCTATCATTCTCCTTATTAATTTTTCTTCATTTTCTTGTTTCATACCAATTACACATTTTGTGCCTTAATCATGTTTTATTATTTTTAATTTCATTCTTCAAAGAATTCATATTTTTAGATTCTGACCTACACTCAGAGAGAGATGGCCATGATCAAAGAGACAATATTTACATTCATGGTGCTAAACTAGAAACTGCCAAACACACCTTCCATTAATGATTCTGAAGCTATCAACCTTAAGGTATGCCAAGGAATCTGGCAAAGAATCTACTCACAATTAAACTGTAGTGATGACCAGAAAGATGGCCTTCAGCCAAATAACGATAAAAGAACAGGGATACAAACACAGCCAAGGGCAAACAAAAGATCAAGGAGGTTTTCTTATTTGAGATCAAAATTTAAAGAAATAAATGGAGAATATTATTGTCTCATATGATTCAAACAAAAATCCAATGGGGTATACTATAAAAGTTTTAATGTTAGAGATATCCTTGCGCACAAAAAAAAAAAAAATCATTTGGTCTGAGAAACCAAGATCTCCTTGGTCTGGCCGCAGGGATCCCAGCAGAATGAATATTCTGTTTGTCTTTACAGATACATGTTTACATCTGCTCATCAAATTCCTTGTAGGCAGAAGGTAGACATTAAAGAGAATTTTTCCTCCTTCATTATTTCCCTATAACAATAAACCTCAGCAAATCTCACTTTCTGAACAAACTAGGGGGTGTTTAACAAATCAGGCTGCACAACTTTCACGTTTAATTGTTCACCAACATTCCAGAGAACGTTACCAGATGAAATTCATTGTATCCCCCAGCAGTTTGCTTTGATGGCAAAATCTCCAATGAATTATTTATCGTAAATTTCATTAAATGATCATTTATTTTTTTTATATAATTCACAAATACAGACTGCTAAAAAGCATTACCAGAGAAAAGTTTTGATTAGAGTCTAATCATGGTTAAGTTTCAAACCAGGTCATATCATTTGGTAAAATGTGTGCAAACAGTAACCAATTATCCTCCAATAAAAGAATATTGTACCAATTCTAAATTCCAAAGCCTATACATGAAATGACTTGCAGGTATTTAGCAAGCACCATGCACTATTTATGCAACAGAAAGTGAAGTTGATTATTAAATGGCCGGGGCGCACTAAGTTACTGAAATTAATGGCAATTTTTTTTTTTATTCTTTATCTGATTTTTCACATGTTTTATATGGGAATGCAACTTTTCTGTAATTATCAACAAACAATCTCACACTTTAATTACTAAAAGTAGTTTTGAACTTCATTTACTTATTCCATGAGTAATTTGAGTAATTTAAAACTTCAAATAATTGAAGGACCCTTGTGCAACTATTATTATAATGCCTAATGATGCTGTACACCTCTTCTAAATCAAATTTTGAGAAAATACCAGCTAGAACTAAATTGTTGTTATTTTTTCTTTAAATAAGATGAGGATTTGCATCATCTTTTATCTATATTCAAAACCAGTGTCATGATTTTAAATATCTTATCAGTGGGTATAGAAAACTTTGTTGTAAGGTACCTGTACATTGCATATATGACCAATTACTGTCTGATGATAGATCATTTGATGAAGAAAATAGAATATTCTCTCAACAGTTTTTAACAGTGACTTTCAATACTATGTAAACATTGTCTTGCTTACCAAACTAGCTGTATCTTGAGAGGGACTGCAGAGCAAGGATAATTAGCAGCTCATTTCACAGATCGAAATCCTTAACTTTAACGTACAGAAGAAAATGATCGGATTGGATCCATAGTTCTTTTTTTCCCTATATATCACACTTTGTATATGCAATGAGTTAAAAAAAAAAAAAAACATTGGTGGTAATTTTTCACTAAAAACCATGAAATTATGCAGCAGCAATGTCCACTTCAGAAAGTCCGAGCTAATCCATGGTAATACGATCAAATATTTCTGTATTTCTCATCAAAACAGCAGAAAAACAATAAATGGTGTGATCAAATAGTCTTATTCCAAACGAATTAAGACAAAAAAGGCACCACACAACCAATGAACTCAATCAACTCTCAAGGAATTAACTCAAGATATCTGGTACTATTCCAAGAACTTGGGGTGTGCATTTACTCTATTAATGGCAGATTCTGGATCTGTGTACTGGACATGAAATGTTATTCTTAATGAGTTAAAACACTCTTAAGACTTCTTGACTTTTGGGAAAGAGACAGCTTGGATTTGGTTTCAGCTTGAAGATCTTTGTTGTAGACAGATGACACCAGAGACAAGATGGAAGAGAGATAATGGAATCATTCAGAGGGCTAGATAATGTTAAGAATTATGTAAATATGGAAACATTTTTCTTCTGAAGTTTTAAGCCCCCCTCCAAAAAATAAATAAAACAGTATTTCCAAGCAATATATTGGGGGGAGGGGGGATCTGTATTAATTGCCATAAATGGATTATGATGGCTCTAAAGGAGCCATCTGTTTTTGAGATGTGTGTTGAAACATCTAGTCTGTCCTGTCAAAATCAAGTCTTTGTTCTATAAAAAAATTATAAAATGTAAGTGACAATTTTAGCAGAAATTGCAATTAGTTAATCATAACTGTTCCTTTTTCTGGGAGATATAAATAAGAGAGTTTTAATGGAAGATAAGTTTCTCTGAAGTCAACTTTGTCTGTACCACCATTTACAGGGTTCAATATCTATTTTTCATATGTGGGAGTGAAATCCCATTTTGTTAAAAAGAAAAGAAGAAAAATACAAAAATACTCTAAATTTTCAGACAACACGAAGAGCATCTGGCTTATAATCTAGCCAGCTAATTTTCACAGAAAAATTCTTGATCTTGCACATGTTTTATTGATGCCAGTTCTTTTTATTCTGCTTCAAAAGTCTCCCTGCTAGAGACAATGACTAATTCCTATTGAATGAATCATCCCCATTGTTATTGGTTGCCATGTTACCAACATCAGAGTTGATGATGACACAATAATTAATTAAATTCTTTTCTCTGTCTTTGATGAGGTGAAGGTATTCAGAGTTATCTGCTCTTGATACTGCATTTGCACTTTACAAGTGTAAGAGTTATCCCTCTTGCATAACTAAATCACTATCTCTGATCACCAACTGTGAGCCATATGAATTATGTACAATTCAAATAGAGATTCATTTAAAAAAAAAATCAAGCTAAATATACATGCATTTCCTGATCTAATATTGGATATACCGTATATACTCGCCTATAAGTCATTTTTTTGGGGGGGAGTTAAACTTTGGTCCAAATCTCTGTCCGACTTACAGGCTTTCATGACCCTGGGACATGGGTATTAGTGTTAAGGTAGGGATGCATGTGTTATAAAAGATTGGAATTTTAGAGGGTCAAGCCCTCTAATATAAGCTTAAAAAATACCACCGACTTATAGGCGGACCGACTTACATGCGAGTATATAAGGTAATGTTTTTTGTTGTTGTTTGTTTTTTTGTTTGTTTTTTTTTGTTTGTTTTTTTTTTGGTTTTTTTGGTTTTCACTTTTGTTTTTTGTTTTCCTGTTATATATGCAAGCAACAAATGAATATTTTTCATAACACTTTCAATTGTTACACATTTTTTATAAACTTTCAAAACTTATGAGGCAACTTTGTTTCTTTTTTTTAACTCAGAATTTTTTTTTTGACATAGATGCCAAATCTTTTGGGGTAAATCCCCAAGCATAACAGGACTAAATCTTTTTCCCCAAAGTATTAAAAAAATAAACTCTGTAATGAAGAATCTGGGAACTGAATGAAGATGTATGGGAGAGAGCATTAAGTCTAAACTCAGACACTTATAAGCAAATCTTTTCCAAAGTTAGATCAAATGTTAATCTCAGTTGTATGAAATCTTTTTGGACTGCAAGACTGCTGAAAAGCCAAATTTCTCATACTTAGAGTGAATTATTTTTACTGAGAAATGTCACATTTTAAAACTTTCATGGTATTGAAATATTACAACAAATTCTTTCTACAACGATAATGATTAAATCATTTCAAAATGTTATTATGCAAATGGTTAACTTTTGCTTTTTCAATGAATATTCAGGATTATTTCAATGTTAAATAACTCACCTATCATCATCCAGCAGGCCACTGCTTTTCTGCATGCATTCTTTCACAGCCTGCATCCCCTCCCTGAATCGCTGCTGGAGACGCCGTGCATACAGGGATGCCCCACCCTCACTGAGGTAACCACTGGTCATATCCTCCATTTTAGCTTGATTCTTCAGAATGTCACCATCGGACATATAACCAGACATGTAATCATAAGTGTCATAGTCAGAACTGTAATCCGTATCGAATCCACTGTTTTGTCCACTAGAGGGTACTTTCCGAATTGGTCCGGAGTAGAATTTCCCATGATCAATTAATGGACGATTAACACCCAATCTGCTGGTACTCGCAAAGTAAGCTGGGGTTGGGGTTGCATAGCCTGGATTGTGATAGTTTAACACTGGGAGTTTGTTTCCTGGTGATCCATATCCGCGGAGCAATCCAGAGGATCCGTATGACATAGCACGAGTAATAGGGGCCATAGGCTTGATGTCCAGTTTCTCACCTTCATCGTCAACGAATGTTGTTGTTTTCTCCGAGAAAGTTGTTTCCTTTGTCGTAACTGTTGTTTCCTTGGAATCTTTTATCACTTTTTCAGTCCTCACTTCTGTATCAAACGTAGTTTCTACTTTCTCACCATGTCTTGGTTGCACTATAGCCACATTATTTGCAGTCTTGTTTAACTGAGAATGCAAAACTTTTAATCCCAAATGTGGTGAATTTGTAGCACTTCCTTTTTCTGAACCAGAAAACTCTTCACCACTGGAGGGTTTATAAATAACACTTTCACTAGAAGAATGGCTATGTCCACTTTTACCACTATTGCTGGATGAGGATGGTGTAGAGTCACTATTATGTCCAGAAGCAGAAGTTGATGCACTATTACTGTCTATGCTTTGATTGCTATTATCCCTAGGGACACTCCGAGGAGGGGGCTCCGTTTTTGGCAGGGGTGGAGGAAGAGCCCTATTCAGCACTGATAGATTTGTCTGTGTGTTTCCATCTGACTTTGTTAATACATTTGAGGGGGTGGCTACAGAACAGGTAGGCTTGACAACATTAATTGTTTGAGAGGATGCAGATATAATATGATTTGACTCTGCAGCAGCACTGCTACCACTGTTTCTGGCTATGTTCTGTGAATTATTGTTGAGACCTGTTTCATGGTGGTTTGAATGTTGTGTGTTGGAGTTAAGTGGGGTTGGCAGTCTCTTGTTGTTTAGTGGCAGCTGACTGGGTTTTGAACTATGGCCATCACCCACTCGCTCTAACCTTCCATCTGTGTATTCAACCTCTGTATACCTTGACTTTTCCTGATGTTGCATTCTGGGATCAAGCGTCTTTGAGTGAGAGTGGTGGTCCCTTGATTTTGATTGGTCAGGGTGTTCTTTGCTCTGATGTAAGCCATGTTGTAAATGGCTATTATTATGAGATGATGATGATGGCAGTGTGGCACATCCAGGAATTTGAGATGGGTGGTTTTGCATAGATCTAACTGATGGAATATTGCTAGAAGGAGTGGATGGTAATGGCACATTGAGTTTTTGAGCACTTCCTGATGAATTGGAGTTTCTGGATTTACTTTTCTCATCTTTACTACTCTTTAAATCCTCTTTGCTACTCTTCACAGACTTGTTACCAGAGGACGATGGTTTTGGAATGCTACTTGAGGGGGTTGGAATACCACTAGATGGAGCTGATGATGGTGACTTGGATTTTCCTCCTGATGATGAAGACTTTGGAATTAAGGTTCCAATTTTAGAACTTTTTTGTCCAGATTTATCATGCTTGTCACTTTTAGCACTACTTTTTTTGTTACTTGCAGGTAAAGTTGATGAATGTGAAGTTGGCGTAGGGGAAGGGGATCCCCTATGTTTCGAAGACACATCTTCAGCAGTAAGAATACTCCCTCCCTTTTCCCTCCCACTAAATCCCCCTTTCCCGAGGGATTTGGTTTTAGGAGGGAGTTTGGGACTTCCAGAGTCATTTGAAGGTGTACTGCTACCACATGTTCCTGGGTCTGTGGAACTCGAGCTTCGTGCACTGGCTGACGACTGCCGGTCGCTCGCCCGGGAGTCCCGGTCACTACTGGAACAGGTACTTCCTGTGCTAGTTGTGCTCTGTTTAGAGGCACTTTTGGGTAAACTACTCTTAGTCTTTGATTTGTCTTTGGAGTTAAAGAATTTGAATTTGTCCAACATAGAGTTTTTATTTGTGGTGGCCGCAGCCTTCTGTGAGGTACTTTTGCCGGAGGCTGAGGAACTCGTGGAGGTGGTGCTACCGGTACTCACCACTCTCCCTCCTGACTTGTCACCAGATCGAGGGTGTGCCAAACTCCGACCCCCGGGGATAGGGATTCCTGAGGTAGCTGATGAGCCCGGAGAGGTGGCCCGCTGTGAAGCTGAGGGCACTGTGTTGTTATTGACGTTATTTTTGGCACTTATAAATGATGAACCTGAAAACAAACAAAAAATTTATTGAATTTATTTACATATAAAAAGGATTTTATAAAGCATTTTCACTATAAATATATCAGAATTTGAACATCCTGTTCAAAAGGCACAATTAAGTATCTACTCTTCCAAGAAACATGGAACTTTCACAATTGTGTAATAGATAATGATCAGTAGAGTTATCTCTCTTGATATATGCACACACTGCAGACATAGCACCTGATTCAGATTCCTCGTCAGAACTCAAAAACACTTCATCATTTAAATTCTCCAGAACTTCCAAATCATCCATTTTTTAGCCTGACAGAAACCTTAATTAGTCTCACAAAAAAATACTCCAAGTTCCAGAATATTGTCTTATTCCCAATTAGTCGTCCAAATTCTGTATGTCAGTATGTTTTAGTTATACACTCTGTATATCTATGACAGAAAGTGTAAGTGTTGGGTCCTCACTAAGTGCCACTTTCTGTCTGCTAATATTCCTTTTCCTCGTTTGTATTTGTCACATGACTTTCTGTGGTTTTGAATATATGCTTTGATATTTATGGCTTATGTAGATTAATAAATATTTTCATGTTGCCCTTAATTAGAATACCAAGCATTGAAGGTTACAAATTTGACCTATATTATGCTATAATAGCAATTAATAATGATAAAAAATGTACTCTTAACGGTCAGACTACCTCAAACTTTTCTGCAATTTACAGGAGCCTTTATTTAAATAGTATTTAGCATGTATATTAGCCTGAACAGGAACAAAATTTTCATACAGATATCGTCACATGAAGTTTATAAAGACCCACCATAAATTTCTGGACAAAATATAATGTAAGAAATTTGGCACAAAACTAAACAGATTTCTACTTGATACAGGTAATATACAAAGATTAACGACAAACAAAGCAATTCTTTAAAAGCTGAAAAATCTGCATGCATACCTGGCTGCCGCAAACGTGAAGGCATCTTCAAAATGATTAAAACTCCTTATACAGCACTAATTTTTTAAAGATATTGCAAAAATTAAAATTTGAGCTGAGCATTTAAAATTCAATTAATGCTTAGCACCTCTCCTTGCAAACTATGAGCTCAAATGTAAAATAAGTTAACTCAGAGTCCCACGAGACTGAATATGACACATCATTTAACAATGGGCACATTTAAGTATATTTCACAGTAACCTAACAATACCTTGGGATACTTGATATTCTACTTAAGTTTGTTCCACACACGCCAGTGCAAAAGGTTGAGTTGGTGATGTTAATAATTTTTATTTGATGTTTACAATAATAATGCATGATCGAGACCAAATTCCCTCAGAGGTCATAGTGGGCGGCCTTAATATCATTTAACCACTTCCCATATTGTAACTCTCCACAAGTCTAGACTTCATAATTTCTGGTCAATTTAAAGACCAGTGGGATCTACTCCTTTCTTCTTTTTTTTTCCCACAAAGCTCTTTAGAGACACAGATTTTTATTATTTACGGATTGTCTTCTTTCCTGCTTGAGATTTGATAAAATCAACATCAAAACAAAGCCTCGGAAACTTTGACTCATGACAGAGACTCCTTGTAAACCACAACAAAGAGATAGACTTTACAAAACACAGGTAGTGATAAAAAATGGGAGTTCGCACCTCATTAATAATTATACACTGTAGAGCCCCTGGTTATTTGGCGGGCTAATATCTACCGATTTAATTATTTATTCTGTAAACAAACCATATGAAGTGCTGAACTGAATTGCAAGTTTCTATTTTTATTAAGCCTTTCGATCAAGGTCAATTTCTATATTAAAATGTATAAATTAAACTCAATTTCCTGTTCCACACAAAAGTTGAATTGTTTCCAAATGTCTTTTTACAATATATCCTTGGTTTTTCCTATCAACAAAATAAATCTGGAATAAGGAAAATAACTTACAAATCAATGAATCTGGTACAACACAGAGATGTCATATTAAATGCTTGAAACCAGATAAGTACAAGTACTCTTTTCCAGTGCCAAAACACACGAACCACACAAACATTATGGTAAAAGTTTTCACTTAACAAGCCAAGGCCCCTTTTACTAGGACGTTAACATTTCGATGACCATCTGGATACATCACGATTTATTTTTCACCAATACACAATTCTGAGGTACCTGAGCTAGCCAGGTAGCTAGAGGATGTAACATTACCTAGAACTCTATGTAATAACTTGTAATTAGGCATGAAGGGAGTTTCTATACCAGTGTATGATATTATGACAGATGATTTGCAAAAACTAACAAGTAGTTATCAAAAATATATCACATTTTGACAGAAATTACTAATAGTTGAACAAGTGACACTGAAAATAAATAGTAAAAAAATTTATTATCCTCTAGTTTATAGGCACAGGTATTAGCTAAAGACATACATTCCCACTGTGTATAGCAGTAACTGACAATTTTTCAAGTTAAGAGAAAAAGAGGAGATAATATATAGTTTTTTTTTTTTTTTTCAATCCTTAGTCTTCCTTACCAATTCATATCTAAATTACTGTGCACTAAATTAAAATGATTGAGGCACAAAATTCAAACTAAAAAAAAAAAAATAAATAAACTCACTGAAGTCTTTTAAAAAAGTCCATTTGATGCATCAGCATATTTGAGCCACACAAGCAGATTAAGTTTTCCAACAATCCAGGTTAATTGTATATCAAGAAACACAATATATAGAGAAAGTGTGACCCAGGCATCACCTTACACCAAGGTCTTCTGAAGTGTGAAGATGAGAAATGGTCCGACATGAATGGAGATTATATATAGAAACTGTATATACCAGTGTCAATTTCAGAGAAATAATGCATGTCAAAAGATTAGTATTCCAAGAATGTTTCCTAATATATCCAGTTACAAATTTCGGTTGTAATTGTTTTCAATTGCAATGAGGAAATATTTCTTTCAATAGATATAATGGGTTTAAAAATATATCTCCCAGTTCTTTGGTGTCATCCAAGTTCAAAGTCTGTATTATCTGATGTTTAGGAAATCTTGGGTCTGTTATGTAATTTACACTTTATTCCTTTACTTTCAGTTTCCTTCCTAAGATGAGGAAAAAAGGCAGTTCAGTTGAATGGAAACCACTTCTACAGTTGGAACAGATAAGGAGTACTGCATGGAAGAATATCATTTTAGACTGACTCAAACTTTTGACAGTGTTGTCTATTTCATATTCATTCACTATACATAAAAAAATATTAATTCTGAATCAGTAAACGCAGCTAGAGTAAAACAGTTTGAAGGAGGCTAACTCTGCATTACCTCAGACAATAACATTGAGACTGCATATAAACTGAATGTGCCGTATTATAACTCTAATTACAAGAGAATTCATATAAAATTACCAAAATGAAGTTTTATCAATAACATAATTATATGGTTAGCTATAGCATATGTCAGTCAGTTTCATTTTAAAGTGCTGTGATTTTTCTTTTATTTCAATTTCTTACACTTTTAGTTTAAATAAAGATTCAGACAGTGTGAACCTGTAAATAAATGACAGGTAGGTCATTTAATTGCATTTTTATAACCTGTGTAAATAGAAGAAAAAAATTTCAATTCAATCATCAATTTTAAAACTGAGTTTCATTAATCATTTTGACATACATTATATTCCTACCACCTCCTTTACATGAATTAATACTTATATATCCAAAATAGATAAACATGATCAAAACTTGACACCTGATTCAAACAGGTAGGCAAACACAATTGCCGACTTAAGCTGCCACTTTTTTCTGCGGCAACAGAGCAATTTCCCTGTCACACCGCGACAGTTGACAAAACCCAAGTAACCTTAGAAGCCTGAGACTGTGTCTCTGCTCCTTGCATTTTTTTTTTTTTTTTGAAAACTAAAAATGGGCCTAAAAAACTTCAGTCAATGTTAATTCCATACTACAACTTCACTGGGGTCTAGATCCAATCCATTATACATTTAAAAAAAAAATATAACCATGGTAACTTACCAAAATATGGAGAATAAACATTGGGGTCTAGATCCAATCCATTATACATTTAAAAAAAATATAACCATGACAACTTACCAAAATATGGAGAATAAACATGTTGCAATCCTGAATTTATCCAAGACATCGTAGCTATCTTTAATTTTTTTTTCCCTCAAAATTTCACAAAATACTTTCCTAGCTGGTGAATTATTAACACATTAATTGAATGAAAACACATATAATCATCTAGCCATGTTTACAGTTGTATTTTTGTAGTATTTTGCCATTTATGGATGATCTGTTTTCTTTTGAGTTAAGTGGGCATGACTTGGGCCTTTCTCTCCCATTCACATTAATAGCACTGTCACTGTCCTATCACTGACAAGTTAGACAATCACACCGAAAATTTCCTCTGACAGTTTCAAGAATAATATTAATTTTCACTTCCAAATTCCTTTGTTCCAAATAAAGTGCTTTTGAATTCCAATGCTACAGATACCCAGGGAAATTCTTCTATCTTTAACAAGTTATTGAAAGGCATGCATATTGCCAAGATCTTTTGAAGAAATGCAACAAAGTTAAATTTTTCAAACACTTTGGTCCCAAATCAAATTCAATATTATCCTTTGAATTCAATGTACAAAATATTTTGTAATGATTAAGGATATATGATATAACACTCTTAAAATGACCACCTGGTAATATAAATTCCAATTATGTTCTGTAAAAATATTACTTCAATAAGGAAACTTTGACTAACTTATAAAAGAAAAACTTGTTTTGTAATAAAATCGAAAACCTGAGTATCAAGTTCTGAAAAAAAGCCGCAGATTTATTTTTCATTAACTGATTTACAAGATAAAAACAAAAATTTGCTTACCATTCATTTACTGTGGGTACAACAAAATATTTTTGTCTTTTGTCGTTACAATCAATACATGTTGGCTTTGCTACACAAGAAACAAAAGACTTGCTATCAATCCCTTGTACATACATCAAGCAGAAATCAATCCAAAATATATCAGATAAG